TTCCAGGCAGAGGAGCAGTTCACCACTCTCTCTTGAATGACCCGCCAGGATAGGAACAATGCCACATTTCCAGGAAAACACTCAAAATAGAATGCAGGACAGATTCAACAGTGAGACTACCAACACCACAATCACAGGTTTAAAAAAAAAAAGACGGCAGCAAGTGATTGGAAGGAAAAACAGCACAGTATCCTTATGAGAGAAGGGAATAAGATAAGATATCACCACAATGAGAGGTCAAGAACATTAAAGGCGTTTAAAAACAAAAACACATCTAAACTTTTTAAAAAGTTCTTCAAAATTTATAAATAAATCCAAAACCCAGTGGTAAACTGACTTCATAACTAGTTGCTGTCAAATCAATTGTGACTCATGGTGATCCCACGTGTGCCAGAGTAGAACTGTGCTCCATAGGGTTTTCAGTGGCTGATTATTCAGAAGTAGATAGCCAGGCCTTTCTTCTGAGGCACCTCTGGGTGACCTCAAACCTCCAACTTGTAGGTTAGCAGCCAAGCGTGTTAACTGTTTGTACCACCCAGAAATTCCAACTTCGTAACAATTTACTCTTAATTCAGTATATTTTTTCCATTAAAACATTGCTTCCAATCTCTGGCTTTCCTGATAATTTGCTTACAGACATGTGAATCATCAGCTTCTCCTTGTTCTCAAGAAGGAATCTGCCCTGTGGGAGAGCACCACCATTACCTGCTGCCCACCAAGGCCATGCTCAGAGCAAGTTTTCTGTCTGTGGCCAAACTACACAGTCTTTAAACTCTGAAAAAAAAAGTAGGTGTACTTGCTAGGGGTGGGTGAGGTGAAAGTGGTGAGAAAAGAGCCACAATCCTTCACCCTTCTCTCAGGGAGAGTCTTTTCGGGGTCCATTAGAATCGGACACAGCTTTGCCACTGACTTACGCCCACCAAACAGGTGCCTTACGATAATAAATTGGCTGATACAATGCAAACTTTTTATTTGGCAATACCACATAATACATAAAATCAACATTTAGAATAAATAGTAAATACACATTCAGAATAAACAGTAAGTTTATTACCTAATTTGTATCTATTGTGCCTGATATTCATACAAGCACAATCTATCATTCCACTAAATAATTAGAAAACAGTTTCCTAAGTCACGGTTCAAGCCTGCAGCTCTCAAGAAGTACAGAAGCACTGCTTAAGCTGGGTTTCCCAGGAAGCAGCCGAGGTCACATGCAGGAAGTACTCCTGAGATCTACCCCAGGGGAAGGGGAACAAGTAAAGGAAGCAGGACTGGCAAAGGGAGGAGACGACAGGCTATAATGCAGACACATTATATTCAGCTGACCCCACAGGGAGCTCTGGAGCTGGATAGGTATCCCAAGCTGGGATAAGGAGGCAAGGCCTTTGTACCCCCATATCAACTAGCAGGTTACAGGCTGCTCCAGCAAGGGGATGTGACCTCGGGGAGGCAGGGCTCTTCAGCAGAGGAAATGCCCAAAGAGGGCTGGCAGCTGTGACCTGGTTGGCCAGTAGGTTGACCAGTAGGTCGACCAGCAGCACAACCAGCAATTAGGGGAATAAGTCCTTCTGTCCTGAAGGGGAATCTGGGTGCACAAGAGGTATATTCAACTAGTATCTGAACCTGGCAGCTCAAGTACACAAAATGAAGCGATTATGCCATGTGCCACAAATACAACATTTTGCGAGATTTACCACAAGCAAATACACCCAGAAAGTAGATTGTAAGGGAATGTGGCACACTGAACTGCAAAACTTCTTTCTACTATCTGCACCCAAGCTAGGAGGTTATTCATCTGTAGACTTTCAGCAGGGGATTCTTGCCACTGGCAGCAACACGGTCCATTAGAGCAAGGGCACATGATGGCCCAAGGACCAAATCCCATCTGCTGCCTGTTTTTGTATATCAAGTTTTTACAGAACTCAGCCATACCCATTTCTTGAGTAGTGTCAACAGAAAATGGCCAGCAAAGTCAAAAATATTTACTAGCTAGCTCTTTACAGGGAAAGTTTGCCAAACTCTGCTTTAGAGAAACCACACTCGCTTTTCTTTCCTAACACACTAGTGATGTCCAAGGTTAGCTGAACTTTGAGTCAGGCTCCCAAATGCTAAGTCAAGAAAAGACAAATGGAAGTCAAAAATCAGACTTAACAGGGTAAAACATAGGCTCTCTAAGGTAAATACAGCAATCAAGGAACTCTGCCTCTGGCCAAATTTAGTCTTAGAGCATTCTAGATGAAGGGCTCCCAAGTGGTTCTTTGGCAGCAAATGAGTATTTGGGATAGCAGAAGCCTATTCCAGTATTTAGCACACTCTCCGCAGCTTAAAACGTCTTTTGGGAGGTGACAGGAGAAGCCATTTAGTTCATCCAAAGCTAAATTAGCTAAAAGGAAATTACTTTTCATTTCTCCTTTGCAATAATTACTAGGGCCAATGCATTCAAAGTAACTAGCGATTTAGTCTGAAATGTGCTCAAATCAGCCAAGCTGATTATATGGCATTAATGTAACATCAGAAAATGAAGCTGAAGATAAATTTTAAAAAAAAAGGTGGGGGTATGTCAGGAGGAAACTAGGAGCTATAAGCCAAACACCTAAAAAAAAATTTTTTTAAGCCAAGTTTCATCTCTAAAAGCAATTTTGGAAAACTTTCAGCTGTGCCAGTCCCCCCTTCCGAGGCAACCTGCCGTGGGTATCATGAGCCTTGGGGAACTGTCATAGCTGGCCACTGGACTAGGAAATTGTTTTCACATCATTCTTCGAAAATCAATCTAACCAACGCTAAAAAATGATAATCTTTTAAACCTGCAAACTAGTTTTATTCCGTTCACTTTCCAACTTGATTTTTTAAATGGTAGAAAATAGCTTCACTTCCCATGTTCCAACACGCTTTCATCAATGTGCATGCCAGACAATAAGCTGGTGAGAGCAAATGCCCAGTTCAGGGTGCCAAAATCTCAGCTGAGTCACCAAGCAGGAGAATGCCTCTGTCCCTGCTAGACTAGATGGCTTTCCTGACCCCCAGTGGTTTGCCGCCTGGCAAGGACACACTTGGTGGGCCCTGCGTACTGCCAAGCTCAATGGCCCGGAGGCTGACACCCTCCTAAATGGTAGTAAAATGTAAAATTCACTACTCTTACCCAAAAACTGTATTTCTCCCCCAAGGCTTGGGTCACCTAACCTAGACATCCATGAAAACAGATTTTATAAATAGCTCTACTTTATTCTTGAGTAAACGAACACCTGTAACTGCCACCTAGTAGACACCCAATGAATAGGTGATTACATAAAAACCAAGAATTTTTTTAAAATAAAGCCACTTCCTCACTCTGCTGCTCCAAACCAGAAATTCTAGGCCGACAGCACCAGCACATCCTTTTAGGGCCCTGACACGGAGCAGTTCCGGGCATCGACCTCACACTCACTGAAGAACACTCTCCAACACACTGATGCTTAAAATACTCAAGAGCAAACAAACAAACAACAGACAAAACGCCATCCCTGTTCCGAAAAGAGACGGACTACTGGGCCTTATTGTGCTTACAATGAAATCTAGAAGTTAAAAAAAGGAGCCTAATTGAGGCTAACGGGCTGCCTTCACCATTATAGTTAAACACAACATATCACTAGTATAATCCCATTATAGCGAACGGCATTACAAAGGATGCAATATAACTAATTTAATTTCTGTGGTTATCAGGTAGCCTATGAAATGCTAAGCTAGCATTTTTGTCACTATCTGGTTACAATAAACTTATTACAGTAAAAAATGCTGAAGAAGCAAGCACTATCCACAAGTCCCTTCAAGGATCTGCCATCCTTAGGTTTAAGAATATATGCTGCTTGCATTGCCCCTAGAAGAAAAAGGTTCACTTGGCAAGGCCATCTTTAATCCTTCTCTCTTAGCTTCAAGGACCTTTATCATTTCCCATCTTAAACACATCAAACATTAAAGAAAACCACTCAAACTCCCACAATTGCCACACGAACACTGCAGGAACAAAATCTAAAGGGGGAGAGGGCTGGATGGCTTAGAGGTGATGGCCACCTCCTTCCTCCCCCTACTGAACTCAGCACCTCTGCTCCCTGGACAATTCATTAGAGAGAGACAGGCATCCATGTGATTCTCTCCAAAGAAGATGATTACTGGTAGTGCATAGATTTCAGCAAGAGTCCAACACAACCCAGCATGTGCCAGGTTTCATTGTCCTTCCTCCAATGAACACATTAAACCAACACTTGGTCTCCTGGGAGACCTTCCTCAAATATTTTGGCTCTTCTGATCCTGCAGTTTTCTTGAAACCTTATTCTAGAAAGTCTGCCACATTACCTGGAAAGTGATTTTAACCAGGGATTTTGTGTCCCCACCCTCCATCCCTGGGAAAAAGAGGGAATCTACCCAACACTCATTATACATCTGTCCTTCCCCAGCATGGGGTAGGACAGAGGAAGCAGACCACTGAGGACAAAAGGTTAAAGGAGTTGCAACTTTTCTTGCTCTTTCTCACTAAGTCCTTCCAGGGAGGCTGAGTTTGCTTTGAAGCAACAGGTCAGAATGCCAGTCTTGGTACCTAATGATTTGGGAAATAGCTTCTGTTTGGGGATCCTCTTTGTGACTGATTGTACCCTTATGCTACGGCAGAGCTCACGAAATCCTAAGCTTTCTGCAAGCAGCTTGTCTTTGCACACCATCGTGCCCTGCAGTTCCCAACGCACTGCATGCCAAGCATTCAGTACATTTTCCATGCAAGACTCAAGAACAGTTTCAAAGCTTGACCTGCTGGAATATGGAGACAGCATCAGGGCTCGCCTATTCCAGAAAAGCAGACATGTGTTGCAGTTCCCTGGCAAACTACAAGGCTGAATCACACAGAGTTTCAATATGAAGCTCGCCCTTCAGCCCTATTTTAACAGGACGTGTAGAGGAAGGCTGCGCCAGTGGATGGCTAGCTCCTGCCTCAACAACCCAGACAGTATTCTCCAGAAAGTACAACAGATATATCAAAAAGCATATTTGTATCTTTTCAGAAAGCAACACTCAGACCCACACAAAGTCAACCCCCTCATGTCCACCCAATAATCTGGGGCCACCGTTAATTCTGGCTTTTCCCACCATTGGGCACTTTGTTACTTGGCCTGGGCCTCCTGCAGGAGGGGGGCTGTGAAAGTGGAGGTCCTGTCAGACCACGCAGGAAGTTCATGCTGCAGAGGAGTCCTTCTGGGGTAAAAGGTGTGGCTGACATCGTAGCTCAAGAGGCAGCTCAGAGATGCCATGTAGATGTCGGCAAATCGGGACAGGCGCCTCAGGAAGTAAGTTGGGTTCTGGTCTGTGCGGAACAAGCTTCCAAACTGGGCATTGAAGAAACTTTTGTTCATTTCTCTGAAGCAAGGAAAAAACGAAACAATGGAAAATGATTCGGAAGGGTCTGTTTTTAAACTACTGAAACCCAGATTGTGTATTCGTTTCTTTATTTTACAGGACTGTTTGAAAGAAAAAGTAGCCTATGCTTATGTACAACCAAACGCCTCATGGGATTTGGTTTCTTGGTTTAGAGGTTTAGGTCATGGTTTCATGGGACATCCTATATAATAACCTACTAATGTGTTTAGTGCTTCCGTTCTACGTCCTAGTTCGTTGCGTAGTGCCTGGCGTCTTAAAAGCTTGTAAGCAGCCATCCAAGGCACAACAATTGGTCTCTATTTACCTGGAGCAACAGGGGAAGAAAGCGAGTCGGAAATAGAACGAGGAGATGGAATGTGTGGCTAACTGCCTTCATGAACAATTGCCTCCTTTGCCATGAGACCAGAAGAACTGGATGGTGCCCGGCTACCGTTACTGAATATTTTGATCAAAGATATTATACAGTCCTGATCAAAGGTAGAAAATGCAGAACAGAACTTCAAATTCTCAGGGAATCCAGACTTTCTGGAGCCATGGAGAGTGGATGAACCCCTGAAACTAATGCCCTGAGAAAATCTGTAAACCTTAAAACAAAAATATCCCCTGAAGTCTTCTTAAAACCAAAAAATAGTTTAGTTTAACTAGTAAAAAATGTCTTCCTTGAGCATTATGCTCTTTTAAGAACTATCTATATGGGATCAAATTAACAACAGCAACTCAAAAGATTAGACAGGAACCTTAGAGGGCAGTGAGTCTATGTTAATGGGAGAGGAACAATTCAGAAAAGGAGGGTGAGAATGGTTGCACAACTCAAAGAATGTAATCAATGTCACTGAATTGTACTTGTAGAAATGGTTGCATTGGTGTACGTTTTGCTGTGTATATGCTCAACAACAAAAAAATAAATTGTGAAAAAAAGATAAGAAAAAGCAGCCTAAAGTAGCCCCAACTTCTAAACAAGAAAACAGTCTGACCATCTATCCATTAGAAATGGCTCTGATCACATTTCCCTCTTCTGCCAGCAGAGAGAACATTATTTCAAGGCTCCATTTCAGTGTGCACGGCCTAAATATGCACACTGCGTTTTCTAAATCGAAACACGGGTTGCAGGGGCTGTTTCTGGGGAAGTACAGGGAGATACGGAGTCCTTCGGTGGTACAACGGTTAACACACTTGGCTGCTAACCAAAAGGTGGGCAGTTTGAGTCCACCCAGAGTCACCTCAGAAGAAAAGCCTGGCAATCTACTTCCAAAAAACCTTACAACAAACCATTGAGAACTCTATGGATCACATCCTACTCTGACACGCATGGGGCCGCCGTGAGTTAGAACTGACTCAATGGCAATTAGTTTGGTTTTTAGGGAAATATAGTTTGAAATGTCCCTGGGGAGTCTCTAAATTCTGAGTTAATGTTTCCTCTTCCACAGAATGGAAGTAATACCCCCTTTATTATAAGGTTGTTGTGAGAACTGAGCAAGGTAACAGAAATAAAAACACATTTTAAACTTTCAAGTACTTTTACATCTGAGGAATTAGGGATTATTTTATACTTAGTGATGTAAATCTCGACCACCTACTGCACAGCTTAAAACCCCTCACTGCCTCCTGGCGGCGTGGGTCCCGGCATTTTGTCAGGTTTTCACCCACTCCAGGGCTCTAAGCTTCTGCAGCTATACATACATGCATGTGTGTATAAATCAACACCCTGCCACACATACACATGGCACGCATGCCCTTTGATGGCTGGGACCCTACACACAGAATATTCCAGCAAAATGAGTAAGTACCATTTGACCATTGGTAAATCAGTTACAAACGTGGCAAAAAAAAAAAAATCATTTATACAACTGTGTGATAAAAGCCACTGGTTAGGAGTCATCCTCTGTTGACCTGTGACAGTAGATGTTTCGACAGCCAAAAAGTTGAAAAGTTAAAGAACTCAAGTAGGTCTGTGGGTGGCATCCATCAATGGTTTTTAAACTTTTACTCAAAAATCTCATGGAGATGTGAAGATGTTTGAGACTAGAATGCAAAACTGTATTTCTGATGGGTAGAGCAATTCCTTTATCTAATAATCTGAGGTTCCTGGAGGTGACCTGTCCCTGGGCTGGAAGACTCAGGACTGGCTATCAGGGTCCATGGTCCAAATTCAAATCACATTATAAGCCTTCCGCCCCACCACTCTCTCCCTAAACGCTTTTCTACTAATGGAAATCAGGTTAGAATGAGCGCCAGACAGCTGACACCCTAAGGGGGAGGAAGAAGGGGTGAATGAAAATCCAGCTTTGTCTTTTGCAGCACCAAGGGATGGCCTCCTGGCCCCCAGCCCAGTCCCAGGGGCAGGCTGCCCGCTGCTCAGAGCCCAGGCCCAGGCTGCGCCTAGGAGGATGCAGAGGGCCAAGCACACTAGGAGAACTGTGTGCAAATGGGGTCCACATACAAGGCGTCCTTTTCAGGGAAGCATGAACGTCAACAAGGCCTCTTTTGAACAGTTGTTCCCGTAAGACACACAGCTACCAAACTTTTCTGCCAGCTGGGCTTTCTTTACCAATAAACATTCTGATGACTGAATGTGTGCACAGTCCTGAAATAGCCTCGTAATTAATGATAATTACTAATAAGCACCTGGCTTGTAGGAGGCCTGAGAATTCATTATGGGTTCAGAATCCACCTCCAACATCGTCCCAATGGCCACATGATGCTGGCAGCATCACCAAAGCCTGGCCCTGCGGCCCCCATCGGAAAAATCGAGCAAGCAGAGCAGAGGATGAGGACAGCAGCCCCCTTCTCCCTACACTTCAAATGGCCAGGGTGGGAGGTGTGACAGAGGTCACGTCATTGCTCGCCTCCAAGAAAAGTCACACATCACTACCAGCAGATGGCTGATTCTGGATACCAGGGAACTCTCATTTATACCTGGGAGCTAAAAAAGGATGTTTCAAAAGTAGGCCTTGGGCAGGTCCTGGGGGAAGGTATGTAGGCTGAGCACACTGAGAACGGGGTGATGGATTCACGGCATTCAAAGCAGGTTGCTCTTACCTCATCTCCTTTCTCTCCTTTTTCCACTCCTGCAAAACCAGCTGTGACTCCTCGTCTCTGTGAACCTGCAGGACACAAGCTAATTACTAAGACTGTTCTGGTTCCAAATAAACTCATTAGGTGATGAGAGTCTTTTAATGGGCAGCTTTTCTTGGAGGAATTTATTCTTGTAAGTCTAAGACACAGGCACTTGTGGGAAATAATCCATTTTTAGACTCAGCTGAAATCTTGCCTTCCTCACTAAAAATACTTCTAAATACCCAATACAAAAAACAAAGTTTAATAAATCAAGATAGAATATTATGAAGCTATTAAAGTATTAAGGAAAGGGTACATGTAAACATAATGTATATGTATAAGCAAAATAAGAGTCCCTGAGTGGTGCAAATGGTTAAGCACTCAATATGAGCCAAAAGGTCAGCGGTTCAAACACACCCAGAGGCACCATGAAAGAAAGGCCTGGCGATCTGCTTCCCAAAGCTCACAGCCTTAAACACCCTATGGAGCAGTTCTACTCTGCACACAAGGGATTGCTACTAGACAGGCAGCCTGAGAGCCCAACCCTTCTAAGAGACACCTTCTCTGGCTTACACCAAGCAGAAGAGGCCGCACATTGTTCTGAAATTGTCCTTGACAAGATAACCACAGAACAGGCCATAGGTAGCCTCAATCGGTATTAGCAGGTTTTCAATGCCATCTTGGTATTTTAAGCAACCAATTAGCTCATTAAGTGAAAAATACATATAAGCACACCGCCTCTGGTGGAGACTTAACATGCTAATGAAGAATTAACCTCTTCCTCCAACCTGGAGAATCGGACCCTTGCCCAAAGAAAATGCATAGTCATCCCTAAGCTGTGAGAGCCTGTGTGAAAGTCAATCCTGAATATTCATAATCAATTTGCATTTCCTTGTTTGCTCTCTATAAAAGCCCACCTCCCCAAGCTGTCTGTGAGGAGTCTTGGAGACAACAGCCCCAATTGCTCCTTTCCTTGTGCAACGAAATAAAGGCACCTTTCTTCTTTCCAACTTCGGCCTCTAGTTTATTGGTTTTAACAGGTCATGCCAAGCAGAACCTGAGGTTTCCACCTGGCAACATTTCAAGTCAGAATTGGCTCGACAGCAACTAACAACAAAACACATATGTACACCATACACACGTATAACATAATATACACATTACACATGTTACCTATGTATAAACATATACATAATATATACTATTATATATATCATATATACGTATAAACATAATAACGCCAGTTAAGTGGAACTAGCAGGTTCCACTAACTGCAAGCATGTAAAAATAGTGCAGCACATATTTGGAAATTAACAAGGATTTTTTTTTAAAGTAATTTCCGCTAGATAATAGGATTATAAGTGGTTTCATTTTTTTCCTTAATGTAATTATGTTATTCTTTTAAAATGTTTAAGCGAAAAAAAAAAGTAATTGTATTTACAAAAGGCAAAAAGGTAGAGCACTTCAAACTGAAGGAAAAGCAGAGAATTTTCTGGTGTGTCAAAGTGTGAGCAAAAAGCAGAATAAAAATTACAACTTCCTACAACATAACAAATGGAATGTCAAAAATCTCTCTTCAAGGTTCTTGTGGCTAAATGGAAACAGTGAAGCCAGAGTCAGCAGCGTACGTGATCGCAGGGGTCAGGTGGTGCTCCCTGCAATTCACGATTACAGGGGTAACCTTAGAACCCTGAGGAAAACACCCAACAGACAAACTATCTGCTCCTGCCATGGAGCCAAGAGCCTTCTGTTTATCACATCTGCCCAACACAACAGCTCAACCGCTGACAGTCACCTGCTAAGGGGCTCTGTTGCTTAGACAACAATGGTATCAACTGAGCTTGCAATCTGGATTTCTTGCCTATTATCACTGCCTATACAACCAGGAAGCAGCTACCATTGGATTACCACCAGCTGCAGATTACCTGAGCATCAACTGATCCAGCACAGCTAGGAGTTTTAATGTAGGTTCTGTGAGCATGGTTTTAATCAGCTTTCACATTTTAAATCAACAAATTACTCACTACCAAACTTGGGCTCCACAAAATATGTTTAACTAGAGCAGAAAAGTTAAAATCTGTGATGCCACAGGGAATTAATATATTCCTTCATATACACACACATACACACGTATGTATTTACATATAAAACCAAACCAGTTGCAAGAAATCCTATGTATTGCAGAACAGAACTGTACTCCACAGGGTTTCAAGGCTGTGACCTTTTGGAAACAGATAATCAGGCCTGTCTTACAAGACACCTATGGATGGGTTTGAACTGTCAACCTTTCAGTTAGTAGTCAAGCTCTTAACTGTTTGCACCACCCAGGGACTCCCTTGTATTTGTGTGACCATATAAATATGAATATACGTTTATCACCAACCTGTGATATGCAGATGACACAACCTTGCTTGCCGAAAGTGAAGAAGACTTGAAGTACTTACTGATGAAGATCAAAGACTACAGCCTTAAAGTATGGATTACACCTCAACAAAAAGAAAACAAAAATCCTCACAAAAGGGCCAATAAGTAACATCATGATAAATGATGAAAAGATTGAAGTTGTCAAAGATTTCATTTTACTTGGATCCACAATCAACACCCATGGAAGCAGCAATCAAGAAATCAAAGGATGCACTGCACTGGGCAAGTCCGCTGCAAAAGACTTCTTTAAAGCATTAAAAAGCATAGATGTCACCTTGAAGACTAAGGTGCGCCTGACTCAAGCCATGGTATTTTCAATCACCTCACATGCACGGGAAAGCTAGACAATGAATAAGGAAGACCGAAGAAGAACTGATGCCTTTGAATTATGGTGTTGGTGAAGAACACTGAATATACCGTGGACTGCCAGAAGAACAAACAAATCTGTCTTGGAAGAAGTACAGCCAGAATTCTCCTTAGAAGGAAGGATGGTGAGTGTTCGTCTCATTTACTTTGGACAGGTTATCAGGAGGGACCAATCCCTGGAGGATTGGTAAAACTGAGGGTCAGTGAAAAAGAGGATGGCCCTCAACGAGATGGACTGACATAGTAGCTGCAACAATGGGCTTAACAATAGGAATGATTTGTGAGCATGGCGCAGGATCAGGCAACGTTTCATTCTGTTATACATAAGGTTGCTATGAGTCAGAAATGACTCAACGGCACCTAACAACAACTAAACCCAAAAACCCCATTGCTGTCAAGTTGATTCTGACTCATAGAGACCCTATAGGACAGAGAAGAACTGCCCCAAAGGGTTTCCAAGGCTGTAAATCTTTACGGAAGCAGATGGCCACATCTTTCTTCCACAGAGCAGCTGGTGGGTCCAAACTGCCCACCTTTCTGTTAGCAGCCAAGACCTTAACCACTGCACCAGCAGAGCTCCTTTCAACAACAACATATATTTATATTTTTTCAGCACTTACTATGTGCTAAGCATTGTCCTAGATGCTGAAGATACAATAGTGGACAGGATGAAGGCCCTTGTGGGAGGCATACCCATAAGCAGACCATGACAAAGCACTTAGAACAAGATGTCAGTCTATGAGAGGGAACCCCTTCTGTCTCTGCCCACACACCTTCATGGCCCGTGAATTAGGTACCTGTGTCCTCACCTAAGTACGGACAGATGCTTTCAGCTCCTTACTGGGCCTGTACTTGCAGAAGGGGAGAATTCTCTGACTAGTAACTGGGATAAGAGTTACCAAAGTTAATTTACTTGCTCTCTCTTTTTTGGAGCTAGTTGGCCATAAACCCATTGCCATCGAGTCAATTCTGATGCACAGCAACCTCACAGGACACAGTAGAACTGCCTCATAGGGTTTCCAAGGCTGAAATCTTTACGGAAGCAGACTGCCACATCTTTCTCCCTCGGAGTAGCTGTGGGTTCAAACTGCTGACCTTTCAGTTAGCAGCCTATCGCTGTCACCACTGAGTCACCAGGGCTTCTCTAGCTGCCACGGGAATTCTCCTCTCCACTCCTGCCCCCTCAGATATTGTCCCAACCAAGGCAGACTCTGAGACATGGGAAGTTACCTGGGGTCTCCATGTTCAAGCCTCATTCTCCAGCCCAGCTTTACCAGAGAGGGAGCAGATACTCCACTATCCCTCCCTGACACCTGCCTATTTCTCCACTGGTTCTGAATTCAGAGGGCAGCAAGGATGACAGATTATCTCCAGTAGACCCCAAGGCTGCTGAAGGGACATGCAAAGGAGGAAGGCCTCAGAAATCTCTGGCCAGGGAAAGGTTCCCAGAGAAGGGGCCATCCAGGCTCTAAGGGGATGTGCCTTAACCCAGCCTCTCCCCACACCCTGCCATATACTCAAACATACCAATGTCCATGAAGACGGCACACAGCCAGGCAACACTTTGTACTGTTATACATAAGGTCACCATGAGTCAGAGCCAACTTGACAGCGGTGAACAACAGCATCATTATTGCTGTATTACATATGCACAGACTTTAAACTACATTAACTCAAAATAATGCCTTACATTTTTAGAAAATCATCTTACATACAAACATAGCAAGAGAAGCAGAACCAAGTCTTCATCAAAGAAGAGCCAAGAACCACCTATCGATAATCACACTGAATGTAAATGGCTTAAATGCACCCATAAGGAGACAAAGAGCAGCAGAATGGATAAAAAACAGGACCCATCAATGTGCTGTCCACAAGAGACACACCTTAGAAACAAACACATAAATATTTTAAAAACCAAAGGATGGAAAAAAATACATCAAGAAAACAGTAACCAAAAAAGAGCAGGAGTGGCAATACTAAACTCAGATAAACTTGACTTTAAAACAAAATCCACCATAAAACACAAAGAAGGACATTATATAATGATTAAAGGGACTATCCACAAAGAAGACATAACCTAAATAAATACCTATGCACCCAATGATAGTGCTCCAAAATACATAAAACAAACTCTAACAGCACTGAAAACATAAATAGACAGTTCCACAAGAGTAGTAGGAGACTTCAACACACCACTCTCGGTAAAGGACACAACATCCAGAAAGAAATTCAACAAAGACAGAGAAGATGGAAAGGC